GAGATTCGAGTTGACACGCAGGATGCTGAACGTGCACAACGTATACAGTCTAGATTGCGGGAATGGGACAAAATCGATCCCAGTGACAAGGAGCGTCGGATGCAGATAAACCGGGAGCTAAATGAGCTGTTGGCCTCTGAGGGCATCCATAMCGAAGGCGAATTGGAGGGGGAGGGTGGGCATGTACACTCAGCCTCACAGTTCCCGCCGCCATCGTCCTTGCCCGGTGACGCTGGCGATGGTACTTTGGCCCCAGAGGAGTGGGAAACGTTCGCATTGCTCGATGGGCCAGGAGAAGGCGACGACCTAGCGGRAGTGCGACGAAGGAGAGAGCGCGCAGCCCGACGGAAGATGACTGCGGAGCAGAAAGACCGGCTGTTGCAAGAAATGCCACATCTGGTGTGGTATGTCCATCTGAAGCAGCATCCCTTACTGCCTGCTGTGTGCTCTTTCCTCCGAGATGGCGACTGCAACTGCGGGCTTCCCGGCAATTGGTTCCTGACGACGGAGAAGCTGATTCAGCTCGCTCTCTCGCCTGATCGTAAGGCGGCTATCAATGCCTCCTACCCCGTCTGGCAATCCAGACCGTTGAACGTAAGCCAAGAGATGGCCCTGGACGCACGGGGACGGTTGGTCAAGTCCCGCGACGAGAAGGCTTGCTACTTGATCGTTGACAACCAGAACGGAGGTTTCCAGACGATCGTGGATATCGTTGGGGATCACAGCTCCATGGAGTGCAGAGAACGAGCGGCCGCAATCATCTGGCATGTGTCGAATGTTACGGGAGATACTGCCTCCAACAACGACAACACAGAAGGCCGTCCTTACGATCCTCTGCGCGACGTTTCAGTCTCTCGATTGGCAAAGGCAGGGATCAACCTCCTGAGCGCCGCGGTGCGACAACCATCGCCGGAGCTGCAGGAGAACGCAATGGGCGGGTTGCTCCACCTCGCCCATTACCACGGAATCAAGGAGTTGGTCTTCTCTGGGAAAGAGGGCAAAACCCGCATCGAGCAMGTGGTACAAATGGCCGCCAACGCCTTGACAAACAACACCTGTCTGTATGCGCTGTACCTTCTGGGGGTCATCGTGTTCCCGGCCCGRGGGTATGCCAGTTATCAGCACCTTGACTCCGTGAGGAGCTTCGAGGAGCTTGACAGATGGGCTGCAGGCCCGACGCAGAGGCCCCGGCGTCGCCGAGAGTCGCTGGACATCAACGGYGGCGTCCASCGGCTGTGGATCCAGCCCGCCCGCGCCTGCTTTCGAGAGTCGAGAGCGCTTCCCGAGCTGATTAATCTGGCGCTGTCGCAGGGAAGCTCTCGCGATTCCAAGGAGTTGGGTATTGGGGGGCGGGAGGGCAGACAACAGACAAGCACATAAGGCAGGGAAACGACAACAACCAACGAATAAGGCAAGTACCAAAACCAAGAAAACTGAAAAAAATAAAAAATAATAGGAACTGATGATGATAGATTGTTTCGTCGGAATTGCACCGACTCATCAGGAGGCTGAACCCTCGACAATCTGCAGAATCCCCGTATTTGATGGTTTGGGTCATGAACCCTTTGACCCTTGTTGGAGGCAGACTGTCCCCAAGAGGAACATAGCAGCGGGCAGCAACCCTGTGAAGCACCAGGCAACACAGTAGAGGCAACACGACCGCACAACGCCAAAAATGACTACAAGGAGCGACATGGCATGCAGCGCTGCAACCGTGTAGTGAAGCACAAGGCAACACGAACAAAGCAACAGCACTACCGAGAACGACAGAGTGAGCGGACCAGCAGGTCGGCAACCGTGGAGCGGAGCACAAAGCACCATCAACAAGGCAACCAACCTACAGGGCACACAAGCGGCAAGCATGGAAGGCACGGCCAGCGGATGAGCAGCACGGCAGCGGAGCAGCGAAGCGCAAGGCAACACCAACAACACGGCCACACCACACAGCGAACACATCAACCTGGAAAGAACCACACGCGAAGCAAGCGGGACAGACAGCAAGGCAGCAGCGGAGCGCAGACGAGGACGTCCACACATCCAACACGGAGCAAAGCAACGCATGACCTACTCACATCACAATTGAACCCCGCAGACTGTTGGTTCCCACCACCCACTGAGCCAGGGAGACACTCAGACGAGCATCCGTCATCACCCATAGGCAACACAGACATCCCGAACCGAGCGCCCCCCCTAAGAGTGCAGTTGGCACTCCAAACGAGGACCCACCGACTGTTTGGCACTACTTAAGGGTGCTCGGTTGGGAACGCAGAAAAATACTTAGAAAAAAATTTAGAGGGAGGACGGGTCAAACATTTCTGACAAAATCCATGGTGCGAATTTGATATAACAAGCACTGGCTCCCAGTGCAACCTCATAAAAAGCTATGAAACACAGACCTGAAGAAATTGAAACACAAGTGGTTGTTCGCTAAGTCAACTTCGTTGCGGTTTCCCGATAGGAAATCCATGGATCAAAGAGAGCTTCTCCCCATGGCGTTTCGCCTTTCATTGCGTCCTTTCTTTGAAACCAAAGTTGTAATTCAATTGTCATGACGTTGAATATTTGGAATCGTTGATTACAACGAGTAGGATCCTCAGAGGCTATATGCCCAGCAACCATTCTATCTCTCTGGTTGAAGATATAGTCCGATGCCTTTCATTTTTATTGATAAAAAAAAGAGATGACAATATATAGTTTGTGCTAGCGATCGATATCCCCTCACTTGTCCTTTTCCGGCATGCTCTTGTCCTGTCGAATTCGCAGGCCGTTGGTCGGTCGCGTTATCTCATTGGAGTATAGCCAAGTGGAAAGGCATCGGTTTTTGATACCGACAGGTTGGATTGCTCGTGTTTCCCAAGGACAAATTATTTTTGAAATGGATGGTGTTAGTTTGTCAAATGCTCAAGCAGCTGCTAAACAATGGTGCAGAGATTGCTAAGACTGAATGCAGAAAATATGGTCAAGAACTTGCACAGTATCGTGAAGTAGCTGCTTTTGCTGGCAAATTCTGACGAAAACATAATTTCGTTTTTTGGTAGTATGAAAATAGAATTTGCCCAAAAATGAGTACCTAAACCAATCATCATATCTTTGGTAGCAGGAAAAAGACTGGCAGATAGAAAACTGAATTTGTGTGTGTGTATGTGTGTGTGTGTGTGTGTGTGTGTGTGTGTGTGTGTGTGTGTGTGTGTGTG